CGTAGACATCGTTAGATAAAATCCGACAAATCGACTAAGGTGCTACCAATTGTTGACAATTCGAGAAGAAAATGGGACGGGGAGGAATTCTCCGTCTTGCCAGGTCCATATCAAGCTTCCGTACATCTTTGATGGAAAGCGCGTGTCACACGCATTTGTATCGACGATGAAGGCGCGACGCCTCTGAAGGCAAACCGAAGGATTTTCGCGGAGCGAATCATTCCTCTATGGGCTCAATCAGGTTTGGAGCGCGTCTGATTGTTATAGCTGAGAGAAGCTCCCCCGTCGGATGAGTTCGGAGTCGGCGGGGTATATTCAGCCCATTCCGATCGGACGCTTCATAGTAGTCATGAAAATCGATGACATTATTAAATATCATTGATTCCGATAGATCAGGCTCATGACGGGAGTATAGCGTCGAATTCTATACCCCGACGATTCTCCTGACAGGGACGCGGAGACAAATCTCGGGAAAACCTCTTTTCAATCCGAATGAATCCTCTCCTTGATGTCGAACGCGAATATATGGAATGATTTGAACTTTTCAGTAGACGGACAGTCCCCGATGGACGGGCCCTCGATCATGGGCAGCTCCTGGACTATCGAGAAACAGACGGACATGCCCTCCATTAAGAAGATTTTCGGTATTTAGGTGTCGCTCCTCCGCATACCTATCCGCCAGTGGATCTAGGATGCTATTTCCATGTCTCATTCCATCGCTCAAATGCATCCAGAAGAACCTAAACTAATGGCTCAAAGAGAGTCGCTCTTGTTCATTTCGGTGGCCCTGAAAAGGGCCGTTTTTTTACATCGGAGGATGCAATTTACTTGGAAGAGGTGTACTTGGTGACAGCCTTGGTTCCTTCGGAGACGGCGTGCTTGGCCAACTCTCCGGGGAGAAGGAGCCTCACAGCGGTCTGGACTTCCCGAGAAGTGATGGTCGACCTCTTGTTGTAGTGGGACAGACGAGAAGCTTCGGCAGCAATACGCTCGAAAATGTCGTTCACGAACGAGTTCATGATAGACATGGCCTTCGAGGAGATACCGGTGTCGGGGTGGACTTGTTTCAACACCTTGTAGATGTAGATCGAGAAGGATTCCTTCCTCCTGCGCTTCTTCTTCTTCTTGTCCGTGGCACGGACGTTCTTCTGGGCCTTACCGGCCTTCTTCACGGCCTTTCCACTGGCTGCAGGTGGCATCGTTCGAAGCGACTTCAAACGAGAGTGAGGAGAACCAGACGAGCGTTCGTATTTCAATGTTTGGACTGGGGCGAAAAGAGCGGAACTTCTGCCGCCATTTGAGAGAGGGGTTGCTCCGCTCGGTGAGGATGGCCGCCGGGCCTAATATATAAACGCAGGAGCCCGAACCCAGAGCAATCGTCAGTTCTGAACTCACGCACTATCAACATGTCTGGACGCGGAAAGGGAGGAAAGGCAAAGTCGAAGGCAAAGACCCGTTCGTCTCGTGCGGGACTTCAGTTCCCCGTCGGTCGTATTCACCGTCTCCTCCGCAAGGGAAACTATGCCGAGCGTGTCGGTGCTGGAGCCCCCGTGTACCTCGCCGCTGTGCTTGAGTACTTGGCTGCTGAAGTTCTCGAGTTGGCAGGAAACGCTGCTCGTGACAACAAGAAGACCAGAATCATCCCCCGTCATCTCCAATTGGCCATCCGGAACGACGAAGAGTTGAACAAGCTCCTGTCCGGAGTGACTATCGCCCAGGGTGGTGTGTTGCCCAACATCCAGGCTGTCCTTCTCCCTAAGAAGACCGACAAGGCTGCTGCCTAAGTCATTCTTCGACAAGAAAAAAAACGGCCCTTCTCAGGGCCACCAAGCTTTACGAGATCGATCCAACCTTTCAACCTGCCAGTCGACCAACTGCATGGGTCCTGATTCAGTTCTTTCGGTGGAGCCTCGATATGGATACAATCATTATATAGCGAACAATCATTCCCCGGCTTCCTTGATGAGTTCCTCGCTCAGATCTTTCCTGTCCAAGTGTCTAGATTGATGCGACAAATCTTGTAGTATCGAGGAAGACAAAATCAAGCGAGTATCTCGGTGTGCCTAAGGTTCGGACTCTGAATCGAGTCAATCATGGTTGTAAAACAGGATTTTCAGTCGGCCATCCTTGACCACGATGAACTGAACGAGGTCCTGTCCGGAGTGACCATCGCCCGGGGTGGTGCGTTGCCCAACATCCAGGCTGTTCTTCTTAAGATGACTGACAAGGCTCCTGCCTGAGTTTTTTCCGGCAGGAACAAACGACCCTTCTCAGGGCCACCAGACTTCACGAGATCGATTCAGCCTCGAACGGTACGGTGAGCAACCGCATTTAGATCTGTGAGCAAATGAAAGCAAATGACATCCAGCGTTCTATGCACATCGCAGAATACTTCGTCGCTACCTTGACGAACGGTCACCTTTTCCCCGCCCGAAAGTCTTCATTCAGGACACTTAGTGGACTTTCGCGACTGTGAGAAAAACCCCAGGCAAGTAGCGTCGTATACACTACTTATCGCGTGAAAACGTCGAAGAACTTCTCTGTTGACATCGAATTCCCATCGCGGCAAGGAAAGCGTATAAAAATATTTATTGATCCGCTTCGAGATTCTTTTCGATGCACGAGCGCACGATCTCTAGTTCGTCGAATTCCTGTTCGATTCCTGTGTTTATCCACCATTCAACGAGGTCGTCTTTATCCACACTGCATAAATCGGTGATCAATTGGAGTGTGCCTGGCATGAGCTCTCCAACATCCTCTCCTGGGTCATTTGGCCGCCACAATATGATATGAGCATGGGGACTCCCTCGATGTTGGAACTCAATCCGGAGAAAATAATCGAGAACGCGATGGCGGCCGAAAGGATTCTACGATTGTTTCGTGGCTAATATGGTCATGAGTCATGATTGCGTGAAGAATCTGATGGAAATATATGCAACACGGTACGGGATCTTCGGCAACTAGGTACGCTCGCTGGTAGCTCCTAAGCTCATCAAGAACATCGCCCAAATCGAGATCGGAGTCAGATTGAAATTCATCAGAAAGACGGTGTCATATGCGGAGTAAATGCGGCCATCGAGTTTCATTCGCACTCAAAGTGAGGAATGCAGTCGGTTTCCCGAGTTGACGTATCATAGCGAATAAATCTCTTTTTGACCAATATTGAACGGAATTAGGAATCATTCTGAGAAAGGCTTGGTTCGTTTCGATCAACCGTTGGACGAAATCACGATCCTCGATCATTCTGCGAGTCACACTTTCTGTGGGTTCTCAAACACCGGTACATATTTTGTATGCCATCCCTGACCCGGAGGCGCAGTATTTTCATGGCCATGTACAAGACATGTTGCGGTGAGACTCCGCGTCTATCTTTCCTCCGAATTTCGGACATACACATAGTATATGCAGTTGATCGTACTCTCGCGCCATCACTGGGTGCGATTCTGCGATCGACCCCGTAATAAATTGCAGGGAAGGACAATTCCTCTGCGTAGGTGTCATACAGAAGGCTTTCTGGCGCTCTATGCTGACCGGGAGCAATGTCCAAACAGTGATCCTCATTCCAGATCATTGTGTGCTGTAGCGCGTTTCGCATCGCCGAATCCGACTCCGTACTCGAATCAATAATCTCTATGCCATCATCGGAGGCGTCCACAGACTCCTCACTAGGAAGAGAATTCGTTGTTCCTCCGAAATCGATAGTTATGCCTTCGGTTCCTTCGACGATCGTCGATCGTTCTTTGAGTCAGATTTTTCACCTCGTCGGACGACTTCGCTCAATTAGCTTGAACGCCCTCGGTAGATGACATTCTGAGCAACCACTATACGGCTCGTTGACGCGAAATATCTCATCGTTCGTCTTAAAATAGTCTATTCATGCTTGAATCTTGAACTTCTCGAGGGTATGCAGGAATAGGCGTCGGAAACCCCTCAGCTAATTGCGAGCGCCTGTGGAAAGTCGACCTGAAAGATCTCCCGTGAATTTCCAATCTTTCCTCAGTCGGCCGGTGCAGCGGCGCCGCGTATCAACGGAGTTCTAGCGCCGCAAAAAGCCAGGAGATTTCGTTGCATGGAGGACGAAGTTTATTCGTCTGGCTACCCAAGCAATTTTAAAGACGTTTTCACGTCAAAAACTGAGGTGGAGAGAGCTTGATCAAGCCTAATGTCCCAGCACTTCGAATGTACCAATGTACCGCAGGTTTGAGGAATCTCCGATAGCGAGATCCTGGCATTGAGACTACATTAGCTCTATCTCTCTCTCTCTCGGTAAATGTCATCCTGTTCCGTATGAGAAAGGTTCGGTTCTTCGCTCGACGGAGCCTCTTCTCAATCTTTCACCAGTACAAGATCGCCGTCGCATATTTGAGCCATCCCGCGAAGCTTCCACTCCACTCCGAAACCCCGAAGAAACACGCGAGCTCGGAAATCGTAGCGTTCAAAACAGAGTAGCACGATCGAGCGAAGTCTATCCGCGAAATTGGCAGTCCTGAGCCTCTCCAAAAATCGCTTTTCTTGGCTCCAGAGTGAAAAAGACCGAGAAGTGACACGAACCCGAGACTCGATATCGATAGGCTCAGCCCGCACGGCAAGCAGGACCATCATTCATCCTGATCATGGTCCCAGATCGCGATTACGGGGCCGTCCGCCGCCATTACTCGTCGCACTTCCTCACCTTCATCGCACGAAGAAGCTACGTTCGGCGGACGATAGCTTCGAGAGGAGGGAGATTCGTAAAACGCTGAAATGAGGTTCAACGACTTATTCTCATCGGTGGTCAAGTATTTCAAACCCATACCTGAGCATCGCGACGATTTCGGCGTAAGTGCCATACACTACAAGTTGATTTCCGGTCTTCTTATCGCGTGCTCGTTGATGACAGGACTCACCGCGTGGTACTCCCAAATCGAGTGCCAGGTAGACCCTCGAGCAGGTTACGACACGAGGCAAGTTTGGAAGCTTATTCATACGAAATTGATCCCAATTCGAAATAATGTATGCGTCGATCCATTCCTGCAAGTGGAATGTGGGTACGAACTGAAGTGGAGCTCCTTGATTTGAGATAGACGAATCTTTTCAGTCTCATAAAACACTGGTGCTATGCTCAGTCGACTTTCGTGATCGAAACGACGAATTCGAGCAAACCGTTCGGTTTGGTGAATACCCACGCGCATTCGACCAATGAAGTCGTTCACCTCATGTATTACCGATGGGTGACTTTGGCCTTTTTCGTCCAAGCAGTTTGCTTCCAGGTATGACGTACGGTGCCCCTGAGAGAATGAGATCTGAATCATCATCATCACTCCTAATCATTGCTGTGGCCCTCCATTGTGGTTCATAGGAATCATTTGGCGGCGGACTAACGTGTCCACAATCTATTTTCAAATGGAAAAGATCCCCCGCATTGTCTGGAAATCCATCGAGAACGGTCGAGTCAGACGGATGGCGGACTTCGTGAAGGGCCTTGAGTTCGTTCCAGCGATCGACCGCGTGAAGAAAATCGAACCCGTTGTCGACTATTTCCTTCAAACAACACGGCGGCATGAGGACCGCAAGTACTTTTCGTATTGCGTCGTATGTCAGATGTTCTATCTGATCATCACAATAGCGCAAATTCACTTCGCCGAAGCGTTCTTGAACGGTCAATTCGTATCGTTGGTCCCTCTGTGGCTCCTAGGCAAGCCGGTTCTTGATTCAGTTTTCCCGACCCAGGCGAAATGCCTATACAGAACGTACGGTGCCGGAGGGAGCCTGCAGAGACTGGACTTCCTATGTGTCTTAGCGATGAATGTCCTCATCAGCAAAATCTACGTTTTAATGTGGTTCCTTCTCGCTCTCGCTCTAGTCGCATCAACTTATCAGACTTTCTATCTCACCGCATTATATTTCTCTACCAAGAGGCAGCGCAACTTGTTTGGAGACATGCGGTTCGTGGAGCGGCTATCCCTAACCCCCGCGGACTGTCTTCTCCTCAGATTTTTCCGCGGGAGTGTAGATAGCGTCACCTTCGAAGAATTCAAAGAAGTGACATTGCGGAAATTTCGTGAAGCGACTGCAGTCGAAGTTGGACTTTGAGTTCTTTGTATGCGTGTCCGCGGATAAGTCTCGATTTCCCCGATAGATCGAGGAGACGTTGGCAGGATTTCGATGGTTCGCCTGCTCACTCCGAATCGGTTCGACTCGAATTCTCCTCTGACTTATTGTCAGCACTCCTTAGCGTATTAAACCGGTGCAATCTTCGTCACTAATGTTCTCAATGGTGCTCTTTGAAAAATATATTGCTCTCGAAGCATGAAAGACCATTTTATGATGCCATCGAGGCACAGTCACGCTGAGTTCCCTCCAGAGACTAGAATTGAGACACTGGAAGCTGGAGTGACCACAGGGATTGAGAATGGATACGGGAAGTAGATTCGTAATGATTTCCGATGGCTAAGGTGGTGTAACACTATCTCAAGAACTGGCCCGGGAGCTCCAAATCAATGTAGCATGGATCAAAAACCTCGGGCTCGACAAGCAAAGGTCCGCCGAAAGTCAGAGTCCGATGTACCGAGCTCCATTGATGAAGTATGCTGCTCCCCGGAAGAGATCTGGGAAGCGAGCTGAAGTCACGGCAGAGGCCTGGGAACTTCGTCAGCAATGAAAATTGGGTAGTCCGCGGACGGAACAGCTCGTTGGTGCCTCTGCGGAACCCTCTAGGGAATACTTCCTGCTGACTGACCCGGGAATGTTCCCGAAATGAGAGCGATCGGGAGGCGCTACTGGTGTATCATCACATGAGCTACCACTCTTGAACCTCCTAGCGCGTCGAGATAGACGCTCTTGTGGCTCCTCCTTTTCCCCGGGTCAGGTCCCCAGGAGCATTCACTCATCTCGAGAGTCTAAGCTTTGGGATCCCCCTCCGTCCTAGAAGAGCAAGGGAAATTAGAATATTCTTCCGCTCGTGATTCGTATAACGATTGCTTCGGGAGACCAATAACCGGTCCCCCACTGTGTGGATCTCTCCCGATGGCGCTGGCGGATTCCCGTCGAGCTTAATCCGAGCAAGATCAGAATCCGGAGCTACATTAGCATTACCTGCTGCCATGGCTGGCTGGTTGACGTCTCCAGGATTGGATGCTCTACCCGTCTAGGTTAAGGAGTCGGAGAGTAATCCCGGCTCCGTGGGGATTGCAGCTTTGACGCCCTCGACCGATATCGCTCCCTACTCCCAGAAGGGCCCCGGCCTCGTTCCAACACATACCAGGAAGTTGCTCCGATTCGTCAAAGCCTCCTACGGATGAATATAAAACCGCAAGATCAATTCGATCATTCTCCACGTCTGGCCTGTATTATTCGTGTATAGACGGATCAGAATTACACAGCTCGCTCCGATTTTGGGTACTGACAGATTTTTCCCTGTGAGGCGAACATACGAGAATCCACTCCCTGCTGAGGAATATAGGACTTTTGGGAGTGGTCAGGTATTGATTGAATTCTTGCAAATGAACTCGCTCGCGATGACGCCACATCCGCGCAGGCCTGTCAAAGATTAGGGGGGGACTTGGGGGCACGAGGCATTACGAGACATCGCTGACCTTAAAATGCTCCACCAGCTCCCAATACGACAATTAGATGCGAAACCGTCAGCGAAGAGAGAAGACTCCCCAGGGGGGCGATTCCCGGGAAAACGGGGCCATTTAGCTCGGAAGTCCCGCCTCGTATTCAAAGATTCCTGTGGCCCCTCCGTCGGGAATCGGGGAAGGAGAGTGATCAGAATTCCGACTCTCAACAAGGGAACGCATTGAGGAGTCAGACGCTTGCTGGATAGATATCGGAGAAGACGGCTGAGGGCGAGTAGCCTCGGAAAGTGAATCGGGAATGGAGGGCTTCAAGAAGATAGACGGACTCATGCACGGAACCGCTGAGGAGGAGGAAGTAATGAAATGGAACCAAAACCTTCGTTCTACTGCTATGCTGCTGCTGATGTTCTTCTGCACGTTATCCTATGACCAATGACCAGCGAAAGCAGGTATGAGGGCGAGGGCGGAAAGAGACCCACTGTGATCTTTCCAAGCCGCGAAATCGTACCGCGCACGGTGTTGCTCAATCGCGCTCATCCCGAGGAGTGGAGCGCCAGCAGAATCGCTGCAAGGCTGACGGCTTGCGTTTCCCTTTCGGTGTGGAGCCGCTCCACCGACATAGGCCAGAACACGGTGGAAAGAACTGGCGCGATCTGAATGCTCGGATGAATAATTTATCTCGATGAACTCTTAATTCTGAGTAAGTCGACCCGATTGGTATACATCGATGGGTGCAAGCAGGGGAGAGTGTGAAACTGTTCAGAACTGACCAACAAAACTCAGTATAGCCGAACAGACAGATGGTATTACCCAGTGTTTATTAAACGTTCTACTGTGCTTATATGAGTCCAGGAAAAAGGACAGCGTCAAGGAGGAAGAACGCAGTCTCTCTCAATGTATCAGACTGCTACAGGGAACGTAATATCTGAACACCCCGCCTTCGCTGGAAGCCGTCTGATAAAGAATAAAATCAAGTAAATCGTAGCTTCTTCTTCGATCTCCATCTGTAAACGATATTACAGCCAGATCACATATCTACTCTACAGACAGTCTACGGTCAAGAATGCCATTCATTCGGAATATGGAAATAGGTTAATCAATATGTTTTTGGTGTTGGTTAAATATTTACTTGATTTCATTCTCTATCAGACCGCTTCCAGCGAAGGCGGGGTGTTCAGATATCACGTTCCCTGTAGCAGTCTGATACATTGAGAGGGACTGTGTTCTTTCTCCTTAACGCTTTCCCCTTTCCTGGATTCATATAAGCACAGTAAAACGTTGAATAAACACTGGGTAATACCATCTGTCTGCTCGGCTATACTGAGTTCTGTTGGTCAATTCTCAAGAAAAGCTTGTCGTCGAGAGCTCGTGACCATTCCCTCGCTTCCATCAATTGATAGATGCAAAGCGAATTGGTTTTCTTGTAGCAATGAGCCGACAGCCGGATTTGGACTCTCGAGGGAAGTTCTGATTTTCATACCGAGGGCTGTTCAGCCCTGCGACTCGAGCCCACCCCGACCCATTCACGCAGAGTCTGACTACATGACAAAATACCGTCATGGTTAATCTACGCGTGTTCCCTCATTCAACTTCCAAACGGGGTCCTTCTGATACCAACAGCGGTGAATTCCGGGGAAGGGGGGGGGAAACACCGCAGTCTTGAGAGGTATTTTCGCGCAACAAGAGAACAAGTCTTCCGCATTTGATGGCACTTCAGAGAATGTTTTGCTGCAGCCTCAGCCATTCTGAGTCTTTGGGCCTTCCTCGAGAGCATGTACACTTGAGGAGGCCTGTCGCCCAATCCACAGCCCTCATCGCAGGATCCTCACCATTTACTCGGATGAGCCGTGTTCCCCCCGCCCGATCGATCGACTGGATCACCGAATCCAGCATTGACCCGCCTAGTTCTCGCGGATCCGTTCGAAAAATGTACGAGCTCTGATAGAGGCTCTGGCTTGCATTCCTTCCCATGAGCCGGATTTTCGATGACGGGATCCCGCGACTTCGCTGCTCCGCCAGGAAGACCAGTATCTCCCTGAACGAGAAAACATATTTGTGGTTTCGATGTGCTGAGGAGCGTATGTCGGCCCGCTAATTTTGAAATATTGAGCGCATTACTCGAATCATTCGCTTCTCGGGCCCGATAATTAGCTGACACCCTCCTTGGGCTCGAGGACGAATAATCAGTATTCGGGTTCGCGCGCGAACTTGTGTCTCGATCTGTCCGGTTCCACGAGAGCCAAGAATGAACATTAGGGACGGAAGAACTCCGTGGATCTCGGGAAACTTCCGAATGCCAGGCCCGACCCATAAGATCGACGAAGAGCTAGGACAGCTCCCATTGCATCCACCACTTTCAGAAATATCCTGGGATGAATATTCTGGGCGGGAGACTTCGACAATGTTGTGGAGCCGTCAAGGACGTCGAGGTAAAGCATTCGTGATGCGGCGAGCGGGTTGATGCGACTTCCGAGATGTCTCTGACTGTTTTCATTATTCACAAAGAGCCGGGAAGACATCCCCGTGGAGGGAATCGGGAGCGACCCTCGACAAGAGTGAAATATGCACCGAAGTTCCGAGTTATTCCGCGTATCTCTACCACTGTTTCAAGTGCGTCGCATTTCAGAATTCTCGAACGAATAGCTGTGTCGCTGAGTGGACGTCTATCCGCCAGATTCCACATGTTATATGACTCCGAGTACACAAAAGCGCTCTATCATACATACTTTGTTCGTGGACGGGGGCGGTGGAGCGCGGCGCGGATCCGTTGATGCACGTCGGAATCCTTTTGAATTCTCCCGGCCTTCCCGGTTTTTAAGGAGCTCTCCTATTCGACGACCTGAATTGATGTCGAGGGATGGAAATTCATCCCAAAGATCGCGATAGAGGAAAACTGTGTATTGGCCTCGACGCTCCTGAGCCGAAATATTCTTTCGCGAGATTTCCATAGAAGAACTCCGAGATTGAATTCGATGACTGAGTCAGATGAGTTCAAGCCGACCGATGATTAATCATCAACACTGCAGACTGGGTCAAGCCCCGAAGATCTTGTCGAGAAGTTTCTCGTGGTCCCCGAGCTGAGTGTATCTCCCAGGAGCTCCGCGCCGACACTGAGATGTCGACTGTGCGATTGTTTTGAGAAATTGTTGCGGTCGCACCTTCCAACCGGGGGATTCTGGTTGGACCTCTCGTTACGACTGCAGAACCTATTAAAAAAAATAGCTTCGTCTACCAAAATAGAAACCGCTACGATCGGCACGGCGCTGACGCCGGGTGGGAGCTGCTTAGTTTCGGCAGCAGCCAATTACCGGAGCTGTAATGCTCTGGCTTAAAGCCCCTCCCCCCAAATAAATCCTGCTTGTGAACGTGCCCTCGGACGTATTGAACCTTCCTGGATGGGAGCACGGTGGCAAACCCAGCAAAACTTCGGCGGAAAACGGCCTGCCAAAGATGGGAAGAAGGACACGAAGAGCAAACTTCACTAATAGAAAGGTCAAAAGTCGATTGGAGTGG